TGATTTGAGACCCCGAGTAAATCCGTATTATGTTACGAGACTTGTTGGGATAATTGGACGAGGTCCCGATTGGCTCGGGTGAGTTTCGGACTTGTTTCAGATCATTTTTGCAAAAGCTACCAGTTCTCGTTCTGGTGTTTCGCACCTGCGACTTTTGGAGCGCAGGTGCGGCACCGCTTCTGTGGCTCGGCCTTCGCAAATGCGGAAGGCACCGCTTCTGCGGCTCCTTCATGTGCTTCTGCGCAACTGCAAATGCGGCTCAAGTTCCGTAGATACGGACACACGTTGGGCAAGCCATTTCGCAGATGCGAGATTTTTCTCGCAAATGCGAGCTTGCAGATGCGAAAATAAGTCCGCAGATGCGAAAATACTAGACAGAATGCTTAAAAATCGGGAGTTAGCCATTTGAGTCATTTTTGAGTTTTGAATCTCGGATTTAGGCGATTTCAAAGGGATTTTTTTACGACTTTGAACTGGGTAAGTATTCTATAACCAAAAGTGATTATATTTCATAAATCCAGGTCTATATTCATCATTTATTTCGGATGTAGATGGAAGAAATTCAAATTTTTGTAAAACTTTCCAAAAAACGAAAAAATTAAGATTTGAAGGTCTATTTGACATCGGAATTTGGTAATTTTTATATAGTTGGACTCATCTCGGAATGAGTGTTCGGATTTCGTATGTTTTTTCGAGATTCGAGACGTGGGCCCCACTATTAATTTTTGAGATGAATTTTGAATTTTAATCCGAAAAATTAGTAAATTCATATGGAATTAATTCCTACGATTTGTATTGAGTATATTAAATTATTTATGACTAGATTTGAGGATTTCGGACATGAATTCGCGAGGCAAAAGTTTATTGGATTCTTGAATTTGGTTGAAAAGCGAAGTAAGTGTTGTGGTTAACCTTGACTTGAGGGAGTTGGACTTATTTGTCTATTTGCTACGTGATTTAATGTGCGGATACAACGTATATGTGAGGTGACAAGTACTTATACGTTGTGGTTGAGTCAAAGCATGCGGGTGCAATTTGTTTATTGTGAATAATTACCTATTTAATTAAGATATTCATGCTTAAGTTTATTATTGATTATTTGATCATTATTCGTGAAATTATTATTCATTTAATTATTGTTGAATATTTTAGAAGGTGAAGTCGGTATTTTGGTATTGAATTGATTGATAAGTGTATATCCCCGCATTTAAATACTCTTCCGAATCAATATTATTATTTTCATGGTAAGGAAGAGTGTAAAAGCACGAAGGGTGATGCCGTACCATTTGCATTATTTATAATATCATTGTCATGGTAAGGAAGAATGTAAAAGCACGAAGGGTGTTGCCGTGCCATTTGTGAGTGTAAAAGCACGAAGGGTGATACCGTGTCATTTTCAGAGAGTGTAAAAGCACGAAGGGTGATTATCGGCTTACTTAGTTCTGTGATAGGCGTTATCATGACGTCTTGAGTTTTGGGTCGTGACAAAGGGGAGGTGAGAATTGGTGGTACTTACACTTTGTAATTACAAGGTTACTTTTTAATTTCCTTCTTTTTTGTTTTTTATTTTAATTTATTTTCTTTATAACTATTTATTTTCATTATTTTAATTTCTTTTTATTTTATTTTTACTTTTTAAATTTCTTCTTTAATTTTTAAATATATTTTTCTTTGTAAATTATTTTTCTTTTATTTCTCTACCATTACTTCTTGTGATTCCATGTAATTGCTCGTATATTTTACTTCTTATTTGTTTTATTTTCTTCATTGAGCGTAACTGCGTTATTATTCTAGTTTTTGAAACTACACCTCTTAATATTAGAAATAATGAGTCATTAACAAACTTGGCATATAATGAGTGATGTCATTAAAGTAGAATTTCGTTGTTGAATGAGATTATAAACTTATTATGCCTCATAATCTTAAGTTGTATTAGAACTTAGTTTTATTATGTTGGAATTTGACATATGTTAAACTATTTTTTATTTTTAGAATTTTAAAATTGTGTTATATTTATGGTTCCAATTTACTTGTTTTAGTAGTATTGGCTTGTTATTTCACATTGCATGTAGTTCAAATTTTAGTTAGAATTGATAGATTAGTTTTGTCAAACATTTGAATAATGTTATGACATTATATTTATAAATATTAATTTATTGTATCAAACATGCATTCCATGATGTTCTTACAAGATGTATATTTTTAGTTTCTATAATTAATTAAACTAAATATTATTAATTTAAAAAATATATATCAATTATTTTTTTAAAATATTAGTTATAAATATATGATTACTAATTAATGTATATTCAAAAAACATATGCATCTTAAATACCAAATCTAATATCATTTATACTTATAAAAACTTATTTATCGGCATATATTTATTATATTAACTTTTAAGTTATGAAAATTACTTCTTTAATCTAACTATGTAATTACATTTGTACAACCAAACAATACGCTTGTAATTACTCTATAATTAAGTTATGGCAAACAAACAGGTCATTGTAATTACTATATTGTATAATTACTAGGCTGTGTAATTACTACCCTAGTAATTACACCAATTTCAATTACCAAGTGGTTTTCTAAATAGGCCCTTAGTGTCCTACTTCTTTTTCATTTGTTTTTATCTGTAGTATTTGGCCCGCAAATACTAGTTAGGAGATATATACGTTTTTTTAGCGGAAGCGGATCTACAATAACCACAACTTGTGTCACCGATCGTCGAAAATTCTCACGAAACGATGAATTACCTTTGTCCACATCCTATTACCCCATCTCTTAGATGCAGGGAATCTAACCCTAGCCGTCATTTATTTTACATAGAAAATACTAGGATTTTGTTTTTCTTTAAACCCATAATGGTGTATTTACAAGTTATAAGTAGAGTTTAGGAGAAGAACTTATTAATGGGCTATGAATAATCTAGGTAAAAATGACACAAGGTAGCCACTCTAAAGGGCTGCTATTTAAAACTTAGTCAATGCATCCTGAATTTCAGTTTTTGAGTTCAAATTTTCGGGATAAAAATATCCTTAATTGTCCTGAAGTTAAAAGTTTTAGTTTAAATTTCAGGACAAATGTATACTTTGTATATCAAGTATCACTTTAATTCAAAATGTATTTTTATGTATATAATTTTTGTATATTTATTTGTGAAGTGCCATCTTATTTTAAGATGTATTTTTAATGTATATTTCAAATATATTTTATATGTCAAGTGCCATTTTAATTCATGATGCATTTTTTATATATTTATTTTTTGTATATTTATATGCCATCTTAATTAAATTTAACATATATTTTTTTTATGTATATTTCACATGTCTAAGTGTCATCTTAATTGAAGATGTATTTTTTATGTATATTTTTTGTATATTTTATGTGTTAATTCAACGTATATTTTTTATATATACATTTTGTATATTATTATCGAAGTAAGATCTTTATGTTAAGAAAGGAAGAAAGAAGGAAGAGAAAAACTTAAGAAAGATAATTAAAAAGAAAACGAATGGAACAAATTTAGATAATATATTGACTTCGGTAGAAGACAAAAGTAAGAACATGAACAAAAAGAAGAAAAGCTAATAGATAAAGAAAAAAAAGGCACGATTTTTGTACAAAGAATTATTGACTTTCCATTCAAATTGCTTATGTTTAAGGATTAATAATTAATATTCATATTTTAATGGAACTGTATGCTACAAATATAAATATTTTTCTGCCACAACTGAATATTGGATTTCATGCTAAGAATTTGTTATATTTCTTTAAAATGTGACAGTTATGTAAAGTTCCCTAATATTTTTTAACATTACCATTCAAAGTCGTTAAGATGGTTAAGTTGGACAATATATACAAATTTGTTGAACTATGACTAAGCGGAATAATTAAAATGAGACGTCATTTAAAAATAAAGAATTCGTAATTATAGTTAGGATAAGGTCAAGACCAATTAAGAGCCCGTTTGGCCATGAAAAATTTTACTTTTTTCGAAATCAATATTTGACCATAAAATTTCCATATTATACTTGAAGATGAATTTTTAAATTTTTCGAAAATTTGAAAAACTCCAAAAAGCTATTTTTCAAATTTCACTCTAATCACTCACAAAAATTCAAAAACAACCCAAAATTATATTCATGTCCAAACACAACTCTAATTTTCAAATATCATTTTCACTTAATAAAAAAATTCACTTTTTTCGGAATTTTACAATTCTCATGTCCAAACGCCCATAAGTTGGTGAAACTGTGATTAGTACATGTTAGTTGTTACACCCCAACTTTGAAGATGTGTAAAGTCCAGAAGCAAATAGTAATTAAATTTTGTAAAGTTGCGTCATCCAATCTTTTCTTTGCCCACCCCTTGTGTTTAACAAATTCTGCTCTCTTCCCACCCAAAAGTAAAAAACATTTATTCCTTCAATTTCAATTTATATGTTGCTCTGGCCATACTGGGGCGTTCTAAGATGTTTGACACTATTCCATTAGTTATATTTTCTACAGAATTTTTCAACTTTTAAGAATTCAAATATTAGAATGTTGAAAGTATCATGCCAACCAAAATGCATACAAGAAATTCTTGGTTCAGATATCATAAACTGATTACAAAATGAATCAACTTACATTCAAAAATAATAATAATATTAAAGATAGAAAAATATTTCTTTCTATGTTTTCATCTTTTAAAACTAATTCAAAATATTTAAAAACGTCCTACGAAAAGAAAATTCCGCTCTAGTCTGAAACAATAAAAGAATGATACTCCTATTCAATATTGATCAACATGAGTGCTAAAATTAACTTTTTTACAGTTTTCTTTCGTTTCAGTCTTTCTCGATAATTAAAACTCAGCATAAAGATATATGAAATAGGATTTTCGTGTAGATCTTCTGTAGTAACTACACAAAATTGAGGTTATAGTACTTAAATAACTGTCTTTTGAAATAACTTTTACCTTCTTTTAGCCAAGAAAGAAAAGAAGCAAAGGTATTTCAAGCAAATGTTTCAATAGTAAACTCATGATAAAGTTCCCTTCAGATTTTTCAGAAGACGTGACAATGATTGCTAAATAAAGGGTTAAAAAAAGGAAAATTAAATACAAATACAATGGAAAAGAAAAGAGCAGCCCGATGCACGAAACGTCTCGCATTCACGCAAGGTACAGGGTATTGCTTACCCTAACACAAGGTTAGTGCCCGATTCTACGGCTCGAACCTGTGACCTATAACGTCACGCTCCCCTTCACTAATTCAATCGAGAAGGAATAGAAATTTCCAAATTATTTGTGTTATTTTTTTACTCTCAGAGGAATTTTCTGGGAATTCAGAAAATTAGCTCCAACTACAATATCTATGCCAGCACATGCAATTATCTGTTATGGCATTGTACAAATGAGGAGTGGTTAGTGGAAAAAGAAGCCAGAGGAAACCTAGCAGCCCAGCTACAGATGCCACTGTTACCATCCCTAAGCCACCATAAAAGAGGAAACAAGAATTGTCATTAGTATTCTTAGGAAGAACATTCCTAAAGATCAAAACTCCCATACCTAGCAACAAATGAAGCTATTTAAGGAAAGTAGGCCAAAATGTAAAACTGGTGATCTGGTTGAGAGACTAATATGTAACTTCTACTTATTTTTATTCTTACTTATAACAATGGTGTTCAGACTAGTTTGGGATAAAAATAGCACGGGCTAGCCAGTTTACGGACTGATAATTCAAAAATAGTCAGCATTTGCAAAGTCATTGAAAAATAACCACTATTTTGCTGCAACACGAACCGGTCCAGCATAATATACTGGAGATTGGTGCACATGTGTATGAACTTAAACATGCTGGAACTCCAACACACGGAAAGTTCTAGCATAATATACTGGAGATTGGTGCACATGTGTATGAACTTAAACATGCTGGAACTCCAACACACGGAAAGTTCTAGCATAATATACTGGAGATTGGAGCACCTGTGTATGAACTTTCAGCATATTATGTTGAACCGGTATATTATACTGGAGTTCCAGTATATTATGCTGGAATATTTTCCGGATTTTGAACAGTGTTTTTGTTCAGATTTATCTTTACATGAAAAGTGGCTAAATTTCGATTACTTTTGAAACTGTGGCTATTTTTCAATTACCACTTGTAAATCTGGCTATTTTTGAATTTCTCCCCAGTTTGGGTGCACCTTGACAATTCCGCCGAGTACCTAATACCTCCCAACCAACACAAAAACCTGTTTAGGTTAGGTTGTGCAACAAAGATGCTTGATACCAAATGAATTTTAGGAATGAAGTGGCAGCTATGCATATTCATGCATTTAAGTTCTTGTTGACAATTATCCTTCTATCATTAGGTCACAATCTATTATATTTTCTTGAACACCAACTACTGTTGTGCCTCAATGCCGAGCAAGTTGGGGTAGACTATATGAATCCTCATAGTTCAATTTGCTCTATTTAAGCTCATTTAGTCCAACATTATATTCAATTGAAGCAGGCACAATATTTGTCAGGGTTTGTTGTTGTTTGTTGAAGCAGGCACAATATTTCTTCTAAAGAAAGATAAAATTGCTATATTTGTCTGATTGAGACCATATGCCTAATCATACAATCTCCTCTATTTTCCTAATTGAAAAGTTGTACTGTGGCCTTGCCAAACACGCTCGGAGAAAACAAAGGAACTGGAGCTAGTGGAACCCCAGAACTGATTGCTTTGTACTTCGACGTTTTTAACTTCTCATTCATTATATTTACACTTATCAAGCACAAGCACCTTCGGCCCTTCGCAATCGCTTTACAGACAGTTGAAATCAGCTAGTGAAAAGAATAACATACCTGTCCTCCGTGAAATTATTATAGGTATGCCCATATAGTTGCAAAAAATATGAGCAACTAGTGGAGCGGTAAGATGTCCTGTAGTTGATATAAGTATAGTGCATTAAACAAAAGCATCAATTGTTTAGAACATAATTAAAAAGATAGACCAACAAAAGAAAAGAGAGAAACATTAGCAAGGGCTGCCATTGTGACAAAAAAGAGCATTCACCTCCCATACTAACTCGATGCATTCAAACAAGGTACGTTAGAGATCCAAGTATGATGTGGAAAATACTTTAACAGGAAATAAACAGGAAAATATGTAAAACTAGAGTCTAAGGACTTTAATAAAGCAATTACCAAAAATCAGCAGCTCTTATCGGAAGAAAGATGAGCATTTCTTAGGGAAATTTTAGCCCCTAAAATTACAGATTTAAATGTAGTAACTCAAACATGAAATAAAAGAAGTGAGAAGATTCTCCATATGGATAAAGCATAGTGTAAGCATTTGCTAACCTGTCCGAACAAAGAGAAATGAAGCATATGATCCAAAGATGACCGTGTAGCCGAGCTGGAAGCCTGAAAACATAAAAGCCATGTCTGAATGCAAACTAAATATCACTTTGCCCTATGTGGTGAAAAGGCAAAACTTCTTAATCCATCCAAATACTAAGTCTAAGTTACACGGACTCTTCAAAATCCGTGTCGCACCCGTATCGGCACGACATGAGTGTGGGTGTGGGATCCACAACGGATTTGACCAACTTACCTAGGGTACTTTGACTACATATGTGTCCAAGAAGTATTGCTCATTTGGTTCGATTTTTGGTTTATGTCATATATTTGTATAGTTATATAAAGTATGAGAATACTTTGCTATAACGCAAGATATCTTATGAATAAAATATTAGGCGTTTATAAAGAATTAAAATTTATTAATTTTAGTTCAATAACTTTAATTAATCATAAAATATACTTTATATGTCGTAATATATATTTATTGGCCGTATCTCAACACTCGTATCTGCACTTGGATCCATATCCCCAACTCCTTAAATTTAAGTGATCAAGAATCCAACCTCTAGATCCACACCTGTATCGGATACCCGCACCGAGTCCAAGCAACATAGTCCAAATATATGGAGAAAGAAATATGTCGTGAACAGACGAGTTTTATTTTTCTGATGTAGTTTATTGATGTATGTGAGCTAAAGGCTGGAAAAGATTACATCCATAAAGTAGTAAGAACATCAGAGAGTGTAATGCACAGACAAAGTTTAGCAAGGTTTCACGCTCTAATAAATTTTCCACTGACATGTTGCACCAAAAACTAAGCATGCATATTCATTGGTATATGTAACAGGTGTTGATGTAGTGGAGAGTAGAAGGAAGAAGCGTTAAAGGCAAGGTATGGGATTTTTTGGGGTGAACGGATCCATATTTAGGCTATGTTTATTATGTAATGCGTGTTAACGTGGTGGAAAGTAGATTGGTTGCTGCGGGGATTATAGGAGGTCGGGTCAGTTTGTGTATGCCAAGAGAGAGGTTATCAGGGTTAGTGGTTTTGTTATAAAGGCCCAACGGTGCCTAAAATTATTAGAACTTGAAGGGGGGTTAAAAGGGAGAGTTGCGCTCTGCAGGTTCAGTGGGCTACGAATCACAAGCCTAGATCCAATAGAGTTGGCGAGTTCCACGGAAGGGCATTCCTATAAGAAAAACTCCTCATAATCCAACATATCCAAATAAAAGTTGACTTGTTGATGAATAAGCGACGGTTTTCGCTTCATCAGCACCAACAGTCACATCAGTAGCCCTTTCCTTGGCTTCAAATGACTTGTGACCAATGGTGAAGAAGGTATTTCGCATAGGATGGGTAACTAAGTTTTATGTTGATCACCTATAAAAATGATACACTGAAGAGTGAAGACTAAGAAGAGATGGACAGAAAGAGTAATGAGTGGCGGGAAAGAGAGAAGAAAGATTCCGCAACGAGAAGAGAATAATTCGGAGACGGGAAGGAGAGCATGATTTGGAATCGCCGGGAGTTAAAGAGAAGACGGAGCTCTAGCATTTTCAAATGATTCTTCCAAAATTTGAACTATCTTCCCGGTGAACTGACAGCTCTATTCACACTCAAATTTTGATGCAATTGATCTTATTTTAATATATTCAGTTCTTTTGGAGTACCATGTATGCGTGCAAGCTGAATATCATTTTGCCCCACGCCATGTGATAATATGCAAAATTGCTTAAGCCGTCCCAATATATGGGGAAAGAATGACGTAGTGAACTGACAGTCTTTATCCATGCTCAAGATTTGATGCAGTTGTTCCTATTAAAATGTTCTGCTTTTCAATGAGTGTCTAACTTTAAAAGAAACTCAAACTTAAATCACATGACACTAATCCCAATAAAGCATCATAATGGTTCATTCATACGAGACACGAATGTGATGATCTATCTCACCCAACCAGTTCACACGAAGATCTTCTTCTTCTTTGAGATCTTAAACTTCTGATATGCAAACATTTAACATAGAGACAAAGATCATACCTACAACCGCAAAAGCTTTGGGCCAGCTGCCGCTTCGTTGAGCATATTCTAACAAATGATTTAAATGAGCTGCAAGCAGATAACACAAATAGTTGCGCCTGATGAGGAAATGAAAAACAATCCATAGTTTCAACCAAAGTAGCATACTTTCATCTTTAAGACCAAAAGTTAGCAAATATAAAACAATGGATAACTTCTCCTCTTTATTTATTTTTCAAATACCTCTTTCATGTGAAAATATTTGCCATTTTTCAAACATTATTGCTAACAATGTAATGTCCTTATTTTTATGAAAATATTTGCCATTCTCTATGTTGAAAAGTGTCTGTGTCGTTGCATTGTCTCCATGCTTAGATTGTGTTTATTCTAATTATATCATGCCATGCAAGAGTGAGCCAATTAGACACTATTGAGATCAGAACACAGGAGAATAACAACTACAATGCGAAATTTTTAGTTTCTTTCTTAGTAGGAAATATGATTATAAGAAAGAAAAGAAATTGACAAGACATATGGTATTACCAAGAAAATTCAGTATCACTTCCGAGAATACATATACCTTACTCTTAAACCCTAATAATATATGCAAGTATTGCCTCTTGTTTCTTGAAAGTTTTATCTGAAAATGAAATCCTTGTACTTACCTAAACTGAAAAATATAGGACAAAGAAACACCACTGTATAGGTGCTGAATCCTCCACAAAGAAGCAAAGGTATCATACACGCTCTAAATACCAGCTCTTCTGTAAGTGGGGCCTGTTAAAAAAGAAAATTGTCCAAACAAGAATTAAGTTCACAATATATTTTCACGTTTACAAATTGTAGAGTGAGATTTTGCTTCGACATGAAAAACAAAGAAAATGCACACCATGTGATTTTTTTTCTTGAAAGAAAGATAAGGAAAAGTACACACCATGTATCAATAACTTCAAAAAGATATTCACATGCTAGAAGAACTTTCTCACAACATGTTGGAGTATTTGGTTGCACCTAAGGAATGGAAATCTTCTAAGATTAATGGTTAAGGATCACTTTCCGCAATTCATGGTGGCTTTGAGAGGATATATAAGCTATTTTAGAAAAGACTAAATACCATCACAAATCTTAATGTTTAAAATTGGTCTAACTCTTATAAAGTATCTTGTTTTATCCTGCAGCACCACTTATTCTTTTTGTCCTACAATAAAAACAGGTCATCTTTAATCTATTTTGTTTATGCGACAGGAGAATCTGCAAGATGACATTAAAGGAGTTTGATACCAAACATCTTGGGCTGCACGTCAAGCACATCCCTTTTGAAAGGACGGGAAAAGAGTGCATTCAGAAAACACGTATTTAGTTTATTTGAAGATTATATTGAGAAAAGGACACAGCAAAGGAAGCTCTTCAGAGAGATCCTTAGGTATCTCCAACTCTGACATCAAGGTCAATGGCTTAAGGTAGGGGTGGCAAAACTAACCCAAACCCATTTGACCCGCCCAATCCGCCCAAGCTTTAATGGGTTTGGGCTAGAATGATTTTACAAATGGGCTGTTTTGGGCTAGCCCAAGTTAACCCATCAAAAATCATCGGCCAAATACATAGTCAGCCCTTTAAAGTTGTCACTATTTTTCATTTGAACACTTAAACTGAACCTACTACCTATTGGATACTCAAACTAGTGGCGAAGTGTACCTATTGAACACTTAATGCAAACGTGGCATAATTAGTGAATCTCACCAAGAGTTGCGCGCGTGAAGCCTTTAATAACTGAAGTAAAGTTTTTTTACTTTTTTATTCAAATACTTGTTTTCTCCTACTTTCTCCTTCATCTTCCTCCTAATAATTCTGGTTTTTGTACAGATTCACTTCAAAGATACAACATTAAAATTACAAAATCAGATTTTTACTAAGCACTAGAATATAAGGTTTTCTAACCCCTTCGCAGGTACTCTATTTCTTCCGAAGAGGGGAGCGGGATCGTGGTGATCGGGAAATCCGTCATCAATGTGATGACCCAGAAATTGCACCGTTGTTTCTCTCTTGATATTCTTCGAACATGCCAAAACACATATATTGGAACTATTAATTTTCTGCAATCTGCATATATTGCAGTTATGTCGTGAGTGGGGGTAGTGGACTTTCTGGGTGTTGTTGATTCCTTATTATCCTCATCCTGACTGGAAGATCCAAAGCAACAACTTGGTGATTGATTTTGTGTTCTTTTTAAGTGTGATTGTAGTGTGCTGTCTTTTTTTAATTTTTAGTTTAAATTTCAATGAAGTTAGTGATTTTCTATGGTGATTATTGTTGGTGCGGTGACTGAAGATGAACAAGCAGGTGATGAGGAAAATAAGAGAAAGAGGAAGGTGGTGGGTCTGGTCTGAAGAGGCAATGTGTATTTTTTTTAGTGATGTGGTTTTCTTTTATCGGTTACATTGCCATGTAAGCAGCCCTTGAATTCACATGCTTGTTTTTTTGTGGGTATGAGTTTTTTTGTGTTCAATAGTACACTTCGCCAATAGTTTGAGTGTCCAATAGGTAATAGGTTCAGTTTAAGTGTCTAAATGGAAAATAGTGACAACTTTAAAGGGTTGTTTATGTATTTGGCCAAAATCATCCGTTCAAATGGACTCATGATGATGTCCAACCTTGACCCATGGATATGCTCAATCTTAGAGTTCTACCTTGACCTATGTTCTGGAAATATTTTCTAATTTTTCCATGTTTGGTTGATATCTTCAGAAAGAAAGTACTCATGTTGTGAAAAAGAAAATACTTTTTCTACATCATGAAAAAAAAATTAGTCTTTTTGTTGAAACAAAAGAAAATACTTTTTCTACAACATGAAAAGAAAGTACTCATTTTATGAAATTTTTTTTTACTTTTTCTACGTCATGAAAAGAAAGTACTCTTTTTGTTGAAACAAAAGAAAATACTTTTTTTACAACATGAAAAGAAAGTACTCACTTTATGAAAAAAAAAATATTTTTTCTATATCATGAAAAAAAAGTACTTATTTTATTGAAATGAACGAAAAGAAGTTGAAACAAAAGAAAATACTTTTTCTACAGCATGAAAAAAAAGTACTCATTTTATGAAAAAGAAAATACTTTTTCTATATCATGAAAAAAAAGTACTTATTTTATTGAAATGAACGAAAATACTTTTTCTACATCATAAAAAGAAAAGTTTTATTTTGTTGAAATGAAAAAGAAAGTACTCTATCTACAACATTAAAAGAAAATACTATTGTGAAAAAGAAAATACTTTTTCTATATCACGAAAAGAAAGCACTCTTTTTGTTGAAACAAAAAAAAAAATACTTTTTCTACAACATGAAAAGAAAGTACTCATTTTGTGAAAAAGAAAATATATTTTCTACGTCATGAAAAAAACGTACTTATTTTATTGAAATGAAAGAACTTTCTACATTATAAAAAGAAAATATTCATTTTGTTGAATGAAAAAGAAAATACTANTTCTAAATCCAAATTGAGGAAAGAAATCATTTGGCATGAATTGACATTTATTCCAAAACATAAGTTAATTTTTATATATGCTTGTTTGAAAGGTTGAGAATATTGCAAAGATTTGGGTCAATCTGGGCGGGTTGGGTTACAACCCATTGTTTACCCCATCTTGACCCAGCCTATCTGCCCATCTTAACCTAAGTGAACTTTGAGCAGGGTTGGACAATGACCCATTTAATGAGACAGACCATCTTGACCAGCCCAAATACAGCCCAAACAACATATTTGCCACCCCTAGCTTAAGGGCTTTAGTGTAGGCAACAGAAATGGAGATCTAGTCACTGTAACACACCTCTGATATGCTAATATGGCACAGAAAGTTTTGAGAAAAGGCTGGATACTTAGCAAAAACAATATTTGTCAACGGGAGGCAGGTTGACATTAATCAACAGCGTACTGGAGGAGCTGCACAGTATTCCCACCTACTTCATGTCACTTCACCATTCTCAGCAAAGTCCTCAAGCGGCAAGACGGAATCAGGAAAAATTTCCTATGGGAAGGGAAATAGCTCGCAGCATAAATACTATCTGCTAAAATAGGAGAGAGTTGTGTTGCCAAAACTAAAATGTGGTCTAGGAGTTAGGAATCTGGCTAGGCAACTCTCCCTTGAAAACCACTTCCCCAGATTTGGCAATCAGTGCTAGCTTGCATTTTTTGGTGTATCTGGACAGAGAGAAACAGTAGATGTCTTTATGGAAGTTCAACTCCTAATCACTCTCTAAATAATAGGTGTCTCTTAAACCTTTTTTGCCGGAGCAATTCACAAAATGTACATAATATTGGACAACTCCTTGATTTTGTCGCTCCTTATAGTATGTTTATCTACACTCTTGCAATGGAGCTCACCTTTTTCTAACTACTGCATCCGCTAATGAAATCCCCTAACTTCATAAAAAGAATAACTAAAATGGGGTTGATGGAGTACGTAATATTTGCTTCAAAGAGATTATATAAAGAAGACTTGATCTTTAGCCCCATCCCATCCCCACTCTAAGTTGCTCAGACTCGGGTGCGGGTGTCGTAGGATACGAGTGCAGATCTTTATGGTCGAATCCTTCATGATCTAAATTTTAAGATTCGGGAGTACGGATCCAAGTACGAATAACGGGTGCGGGATTCGTTTAAAAAAAACTCAAATATTAATCAAGAGGAGAATCCCGAAAGAAGATAAAAGTAAAAAGGATTGACATAGAAATTTCTATATACAAGGTATTCTATTTTCTTCAATTTCACCTGGCTTTTGTTTTGATTTCATAAATCATTGTATCTGTCCCGAATTTCTCTTTTTGGTCAAAGTACCCAAGATCGGTTGACTTCGGTACGGATCCCACACCCACATCGTGTCGACACAGGTACGGTACCAAAAGTGAAGAGTCCGAGCAACTTAGCCCCCACCACCCCGAAAACAAAAAGAAACAGAAGACTCAATATATTCTCGTTTGATGTTACCATACACTCTAACATAAGAAAATGCATCTATATATATATACCAAATATGCAGGGAGTTGGTGGTACAAAAGCTACTAGAAAACTAAGCTAGTAAGAATAGAAGTTTGAGGGTACAATTATTATTGATCTCACGACCATGAAATAGAAGGACTAGAGTAAATCTAAATCCTGAAACGAAAATCAGATAGGCAACTGCATTTACATAGAGAACAGAGAACGTAACAAGCTTAACATTAAAGTTACTGACCACAAGATAATTGCGCCATGCTGAAATATCGGAAGCCAGTGAAAAGGTCGATTCAATAAATTCATAGACAACATTTTTAATACTGTCAAGTGACAGGCTTCTTCCATTTTCCCTATCTTCTTGGCCAGAGTCTAGCAACAATAACAGCTTGAGGATCAAGGTGCCAGCGTACATTAAGGAAGTCAATGTCAGAGGAAAGACGACAGCTTGCCACTGTTTTAAACATAAAATTGCATTTCAGCAATCAGTCACCCTTTCTGAATCTGCGAATCATAAAAGAACAGAACTTGATAACAAACACATGCACAGCATTGTCTCAGGCAAAATAATTTATCCAGTGAAGATGTGATACTTACCATATGATCCAATCTGATGCCATAAACACTGAAAAGGTGAGATTTGCCCCACTGAATCTGAAAGATCCGAAAAAAGAGAATAAAAGAATAAGTTGCAGGCAAAAGAAGCTTTGCATAAAAGTTTAGACACCAACGATTTGTTCATGGATGAACGGACTCAGATTATGTAAAGCCAAGGTAAGTCCTGGCTTCCAGCAAAATCTAAGTATCTAGTATAAGAGCTACATAAGAGATAACACATATCCTAACTGAGAATTAGAATGTAAATATACACAAGCAGACAGAAAAACTCACAGATATACAAAGAGGTTCCTTTTGAAACCTCTGCTTAATATGGACAATATGGAAGGAGAAATTCCAAATGTTGGGAAGGAAAAGTAGTTGCATTTCATTGTAGAAGATATTCCGAATAGTTGTCGGAGCACTCTCCCTTCTTTTTTTCCTAATTAAACCTCACCTTTCGTTCTTTTTAGTCTGTGGATTATTACCCATATACGTGACATTAGTTGTCAACGCTTTGTAGCATGTGAGTCATCACCCTAGATGAACATACTTGTCCTCTGGGACAAAAAATATGAAGGTACAGTGATATATTGACAAGAACACTATGAGGACTTAATACTAAGATGAAGTGATATATCAACAAGGACATTATGAAGACTTAATGTATACGACAATTGTGAACAAAAAAAGATGTAGAATTTAAAATCGAGCTTCTGTTAACTCGGATTAAGAAGCTTCTTTCCTCACTTGTTTAGCCTATATAGAATAGAAGTTACAGAAAAACATTCTGATGCAAAATGGCCGTTCCACTTAGTATAATGTTCCTATCTCTTATAAAAGTTGGGAACTTAGAGTAAAATGTTTTCTATGGAAAAGATTTTCTGCAAAAATGTTTTCCCTTAGAAAATCATTTTCTTGATCATATTACCCTTTTGGGTGTGTATAGGGTAGCAGAGTTACGGTAATTGTACAAGGTGTAGGATAGGGTATGAGAATAATGTTTAGATGATTTTATTAGTAAATGCTAACAACAATGCCTAAGAGTTGATTGAAAGAGAATAGGAGTGAAGTCAGTTTTCCATTTTAGTAGAAAATATTTTACAGTGAAGGCCTTTTCCAGATTACAAAGTATCCAAACACTGGAAATTCTATCATACGAAACACACTAAATTGCTGATATAGGTCAGGATGAGGGATCATGGTACATTTAGGGGTCGCTTGGTTTATTTTATTGGAATGGTTAATCCCAACATAACATCTTAATACAACGTTTAGTTGGTCTCATAAAAAATAAAAAAAATTACCGCACAACAATCACTCCATTATTAATTATCGCATAAAGGATCCCTGCATTATAATCCTCGCATAACTAACATGTGAACCAAACTACCCCATAAGTTAACTAAACTCATCATCCTTCTCATCCAAGATTATCTGTCCTTGGCATTAATTCCTCAAAATTAACAGACCATGTGAATTGAAAACTCTGATTCAACGTAACATAGCAGCACAGACAATCATATTCTTGAATAAACATAATGAGCCATTTAGCAGGGAAAAAAGAACTATTTATTTTAAAATAAAAGACTAGAAAAGAATGACACTATTTCCTTATTAGCCAGTTCCAACGGGAACAAACACCTTTCTGATTTTGAAAACAATTTACCCTTGAATTTCCTGTTTTACCTTTACAGACAAGTTCTTATAGTCACACTTAAGGTATACTCTAACTTTTCAAAAGTTTTAAAGCCACAGAAATGTTGTATTCCCTCTGTCTCAATTTATGTCACAGTCTTCGTTTCTCGAGATTAAAACTATGTGAACTTTGACGAACATTTTAAGATCTACTTTTCATTACATTGACACTAGAAGAATTACAACTTATAGTATTTTTCGTATAGTTGTTAAATATTAAATTTTAGTTTTAAACTATTAAGTTGATTTAATTCAATTTAGCTTCAAAAGGGGAGCCTTGGCGTAACTGTTAAAGTTGTTGCCATGCGGGTTCGAGTCGTAGAAACAGCCTCTTGCAGAAATGCAGGTAAGTTTACGTACAATAGACCCTTGTGGTCTGGCCCTTCCCGAATTCCGCGCATAGCAAGAACTTAGTGCATCGGGCTGCCCATTTTTTAAATTCAATTTAGCTTCAACAATTAGTCAAATTAATTTTAAAAAGCTAAAAGTCACATAATTTAGAACGAAAAGAGTGTAGCATATTTAAGACCACCAGTTCTACAAGTCTTTTCATTTCTTTTTTAAACTGCTTGTCCGGTCAAATTATGTCATATAAATGGAATCAGAATATCTAAGTCAAATATTAAGAAAGCAGAAAATAGTATCTGAAAAAGAAAATCTTACAGGGAGGATAAGAGAGCAGGCAATGAGCGAGAAAACAGAGGAAATGGCGGCGCATATGAACCGTCGGATCATGTATGATTGAAACGAATCCGGCGGTTGTAAACGGAGAATCAACGTCGGAGAATACAAGATTGCAACATAGAAAATTGCCAACGCAGTACACGTAATCACCGCCAATGATTTCGACATCTCACTGCCGCCGCCGCCGTCGCTGACGGCGTCGCCGGTGAATGCTGCTTCCATCGGATTTTCAGACGGATTTATTAGCAAATACATTATAAATAGTACATAAATTACAACAACACACAGATTCCTTAAAACAACCTCTGTAACTGTAAGTATTTAGTTTGCTTTAATAGAAGATATTGGTATCTATTTGACTTTTGAGTTTTCATGTTCTGCGGCGTACTTCGCATGGGCAATTTCGTCATTTTGGAATTCTCAAAATCAGTTTTTATTAAATTTCATAATGGGACCATTGAGCTTTGATTTGTGTAATTTGGTGTGTGAAGATTTCGATACTTTAATTTTGCCCCTATAGATTTGACAAAAACAAAGAAGCGCATCTCGATATATTGCTCTTTGCATCTTGTACAATATTTTTTTTATTACTAATTGTTTTAAAATATTTGACAATTACTTATGTAGTATACAGTATATTTTATTTTAAAAATATTCTTATAATCAGTATTTTGATATGTGCATATGTTAATAATTTGATGGTTAAAGTTATGCTAATCTGTTACTTTACTTTACTAGAACAATTAATACTAAGATTAAAGTTGGAACTAAAAAATAATTAATCGATCTCTTGATTTTTTGAAATGACAAGTATTCGGGGAACCATAATTTTTAATGTACATGACAACTAAAAATGGGAAAAAAGGGAGTACATGCGATTTACCAAAAGTAAAAAGTAGAATTAAAGAAGTGTGAAAATATTCGTATAATTATGACAGCCTTAAACAACCATTAGCTTCAAATCAATAGCAAATGATATCCGTAATTTGGAAGCACTTTATAAACAGATGTAATCTAGGTGATTTAATTAACTTGTAATTACACAAGGATATTTTTGTGCCAGATGTACATTTCCATTATCTTAATCTCTAAGTGTGAATATTAATAAGATGAGTAAAAGGTAGGAAATAGACGAACTCTATTTAAAACTTTAAATTGAAATCAAATAAAGGTAGGTCGTCGAACCAACATGCGACTTACTATGACTTGTAGCTCACGCGCTCTTTTCTTTTATAAAATAAATTTTCGGTTCCGATGTAATAGCTTTATTGTTTGAAATTGGTTCCTATAATTTTTATTTAACCTTATTAAGTATTGTTTGGTTAGATTTAGAATGTTTGGAGGTCACGAGTAGAGGAAAAAGAGCATATTGGGAGGTTGAAGCCTATCTCGGATAAGGTAAGAAGCTTGGCTAATTTTGATTTGAAGAAATCTTTCATAAAATGATCTTATATGCAAAGTACAACATGTTTGGGGGCGACACATATGCGAGGCGACGAGCATATATGCAGGCGTTAATGTTATATCATGTTTGGGGTAGAATTTAGGCTTCTTTATATTTTGTTTGGAGATATATTTCTTCTTGTCTATGCCTTATTTGCTTATATGACTACTTTTTTTTTTTCTTTGATTCCCTTTGTTGCAGACTTGCAGCTATTGCTCCTTTGATAATTCGAACCCACAATCTTGATATTGTAGGTGGGGGTGCTGACCATCGGAGTAATCCACTCTTGTCATGAAGAGATATTTAAGAAATTTAATCATCCTAAATATTATCTCTAGGATTTTGATGTGTTATTTTGACATGAAGGGGTATTTGGTATATTAGATTATACATTGTAGCCGTAGTCATACTTGTACATATGCATACGTCTCTATTTGAAGCAATTTATAAACAGATATCATCTAGGTGATTCGATTAACTTGTAATTACACAAGGATATCTTTTGTGCCAGATGTACATTTCCATTATCTTAATATCAAGTGTGAAAATTAACATAACAAGATTAGTAAAAGGTAGGAAACAGCTTACCTCTATTTAAAACTTGGAATTGAAATAAAAAAGAGGTAGGTCGCCAAAACATTAGGCGGTTGGCATTTTGAATAATTAGTCATGTGAAGGAAAAATGACACTGTATAGTCGCTATTGAAATAATAACCGAAAATATATATATAAAAAATATATAATTTTATACATTTTTCGGCTATCAAATGTAAATAATTTCTGACGCGGGTTAAAAACGATAATACCCCTTATAGTAGCCCAAACCATTTATTTTTAGTGAAATCCACATTGTATAGTCAGTGTATACTTTTAGCAAGGGGAGGTAATTGTTTTTGTCTCACCGACCAAATGTGTTAAAACCTCTTATTTGTGTAATTTGGTGTTTGAAGATTTCGATACTTTAATTTTGCCCCTATAGATTTGACAAAAACAAAGAAGCACATCTCGATATATTGCTCTTTGCATCTTGTACAACATTTTCTATCATTACTAATTGTTTTAAAATATTTGACAATTACAGTACTTATGTAGTATACAGTATATTTTATTTTAAAAATATTCTTAGAATCAGTATTTTGATATGTGCATATGTTAAGAATTTGATGTTTAAAGTTATGCTAATCTGTTACTTTACTTTACTAGAATAATTAATACTAACATTAAAGTTGGAACTAAAAAATAATTAATCATCTCTTGATTTTTTGAAATGACAAGTATTCGGGGAACCATAATTTTTAATGTACATAACAATTAAATTAAATGGGAACAAAGGGAGTACATGCGATTTACCAAAAGTAAAAAGTAAAATTAAAGAAGAGTGAAAATATTCATATAATTATGACAGCCTTAAATGACCATTAACTTCAAATCAATAGCAAATGATATGCGTAATTTGAAAGCACTTTATAAACAGATGTAATCTAGGTGATTTAAATAACTTGTAATTACACAAGGATATTTTTGTGCCAGATGTACAATTCCATTATCTTAATCTCTAAGTGTGAATATTAATAAGATGAGTAAAAAGGGTAGGAAATAAACGAACTCTATTTAAAACATTAAATTGAAATCAGACAAAGTTAGGCCGCAGAAACTTACTATGACTTGCAGCTCACACGCTCTTTTCTTTTATAAAACAAAATTTCGGTTCCGATATAATAGCTTTATTGTTTGAAACTGGCCGGTCGTTTTGAGTATTATAACCCTGTTTCCTCATTTACTGCTCAATTTATACTTTATATTTATTTATGACTTACCGGATTAGTTGGTTCGGGTCCGAAAGAAATTCGGAGTGAAATGAGACACTAAGTTTCATAATTTGAAAATTTAAGTTAGAAAAGTCGACTGTCATTTGTGACGTGTGTGCAAAATTTGAGGTCATTCGGACGTAGTTTGGTTGGTTTCGGCATCGGTTGTCGAATTTATAAGTTTAGAAGTTCTTAGACTTGAATCCGAGGGTAATTTTGTGTTTTGATGTTATTTTGAGTGATTCGAAGGTTCGACTAAGTTCGTATGGTGTTTTAGGATTGGTTGGTATGTTTGGTTCAGGTCCCGGGGGTCTCGGGTGTGTTTCAGGGTGAGTTTTGAGCGAGTCCGGGCATTTTCGAAACTCGGGTATGGTTCTGGCGCTTGGAATTTAGCGGACCGCGAAGTGGGAGTTCAGAGGGTGCACTATATTAACGAGGTTTAGGGTATTATTTCACATTTTGGACCTAGGGAGCTCGGTTTGTGGCGATATTTCGTGGGTTTTTCAAGAAATTCATCGGGGTAAGTGATTCTAACTCGAATTTGGTTAATATACATTGTGAGAAAGCACGGGAGAAAATATATTATTGATATTAGATGATAAATACAATACAAGAGGTCCCTATTTATAGCTATACACTACAAGGAGATATTACTCCTCTTCCAATGTGGGACAAGACTACACTATACATATCTGTAAACTAAC